TTTTTTTGTATGAATCTGCATTATTATCAGCTTATTAAGAACCACGAAATCAACGGCTCAATGTGCTTGCTATTGGTGGATCTGAACCAGCTAGTGCGACCGGAGAAGTGACAGTTATTTATGATCTTGATGATGTCAAGGTATTCAAAATTTATTTTACAAGTTTGAAATCATTGAGGCGAAAATTGAATGTTTATTTAAGCTTTCTTAAATAAAAATGTTTGGAACTTTTTCAAATTATATAAATTACAATGTAAATAGTAAAAAGTTTAATGATTCACTAAGGAAGTTATGTATAAATGTTGTATTTCCAGCCTGATGATGTCCGTGGCAAGATTGTTGTGACGGCACAAACATTTGCTGGTTATCCGTTAACGCTTAAATATCGTCGATCAGTAAAATTATTTGAACAATTAGGTGCCATTGGTGTTCTGGTCAAATCAATAACATCATTTTCCATTAATTCACCTCATACCGGCACTGGTGCAGGTATATCTATTCGTCATTACTCATCCATTTACATTCAAATTGATAATTTAAAAAAAAAAAAGCTAGTTTTTTTTTAAATGTCTTGCTTTAAACTGATTAATTAATTGATGTATTTGTCCGTCGTTCAATTATATCTTAATAAATCAATTTTGCTTTTTTGAACTGTAAAGTGTAATAGTAATAATAAAGTGACGGTGGCTATTTTTTTTTAAAAAATGTATGAAACATTTCAGAAAATACAACAATTCCTGCTGCATGTTTAACGATTGAGGAAGCTGAAATGCTTGAACGATTGTATAGGAGCGGCAAAAAGATCGTAATCCGAATGGATATGAAATCACATTATGAGGAACCTATAAATTCCAGCAATCTTATCTTTGAAATTACCGGTTCCATAATGCACTTTTCTCAATTTTCTCATAACTTCTAATCAAACTTGTTTTTTTTTTTCTTTGCTGCATTATCAACATGGCTAAGAATTACAAGATAGTTCCATTAAATTTTTAAGTATTTTCAAAATTTAAAAATTTCATTTACTTTTTTTTTTTATTTTCTTGAACATATATATGTGTATTGGTTGTCCTTTCATACATTGAAAAGAAAACTGATATTTCTACTTTTATCAATTTCTTAATTAATAGAATTCTAATAATTAGGTAGTGAACGACCATCTGAAGTGGTACTATTATCGGCACATGTGGACAGTTGGGATGTTGGACAAGGAGCATTGGATGATGGTGCTGGTTGTGCTGTTGTATGGAGTGCTTTGCATTCATTAAAAAAATTAGCCGAAAGAAATCCAAAATTCAAACCAAAACGGTTCATTATTTATCAAATCTATTATATCAATTTATCAATATTACCAAAAAAATCTATTCTGTCAATATTACCAAATATTATTGGTGTATACATTTTAAGCTAAATGATTTTGTAAATTGAAATATATTCCTTATATCTGAATTAATTTTTCAGATCTTTATTAATTAATTTACATTGAACTACTTTTTAAAATCCTTACAATTGCTTATTTTTCATATTTTTTTTTTTTGCAATTAACAAGTCAATTTTTTTTTTTTGAACCATTTGAAACATAGTTTATTTTGATTCAGGACAATTCGAGGCATATTTTGGACATCGGAAGAACAAGGATATGGGGGTGCAAAACATTACTACATAACACATAAAAATGATTCACCGGAAAAATTTTATTTTGTATCTGAAACGGATACAGGAACATTCAAATCAACCAATTGGCTTGCGCATCTTTCATTCAGTGGTGATAAAAAATCTGTAAATTTATTTCACTTATTTAAAATCATTTTGTTTTATTATTACTATTATTATTATTGTCAAATTTTAAAATCTCATAATTACAGAATGAAATACATTAGGTTAGTAACTTATTTCGTATTTTCATATAATTTGCATCATTCAATAAATTTAACTAGCCAAAATCCTCTGCATGGAATTTTTTATTTTTGCAAAAATTTTATTATTATTATTTTTTTTTTTTGAGATGCTGCGACTTAAAGAAATAACACGTTTATTGAGCAGAAATGGTATAGCGCTTGGATTGATAAATAGCTCAGTACAGGTAACTTAATTTATTCTCAGAAAATTGTCAGTGAATTCTTGCCAGCACTTCTTTTTTGGGTTATTTGAAAAAAAAAAAAGAATGAAAAGAAATTGTAACTCTCTGATTTCTTCTAATTTTAATATCATTAGTCAACAGGCAATTCTAATCAATTAAAAGGTATGAATATAATTTAGAGAAATTTTTAATTCACAATATGACAGTTCTTGCTGTAACATTTGTGCCAGCAAACTAGAAACTTTATTAGATTTGGTCAAATAGAAGAATTATAATTGAAAAATATTGGGATTTGCATAAGTGTTATCACTCTAGTCCTTAGATGTATAAAAAAAAAAAAAAAATCTAACCCTTAGATGTATAAAATATAATAATATTTAAAATTTCAAATAGAAATAATTTTAGTCTCATTAATTTCAGCAACTTGAATTTCAGGGTGACGTTACTTTTTGGGCAAAAGATGGCATACCATCAGTTAATTATATACCTGACAAGGCTGTCGATTATTATTTCTATTTTCATCATACTGCTGGCGATTACATGACAGTATTGAAGGATGGCGATTTAGAATATACAACATCAATTTTTGCCACTTTGGGCCATGTAATCGCTAATATGGATGATTGGGGAAGTGATCCTAATCAGCCACAGCAGCTTAATTCCAAACAATCCACTACTGAGAAATCTGATCGTAAAAAGCTATAATATTTTTCTGCTAAGCATTGCGAGAAATTTTTATGCATGTAACACTGATAAAGTGCATTTAAAAGCTATTTCAAGCATTTTTTATTTATTATATTCGGGATTAAAAATCAAATATTTGGATAAAATTTAATGAAGTTTTCGGTTATTCATTGATTCCAGTATTAATAATTGAAAACCAAGCATTTTTATAGATATTAACAGATAATTAATCCAATATAAAATGTTGTCGCAAACATGAAGTAAGACGAAAATTATTGCAACAATTGATGAAAATATACAGATCAGTAATATCAAACCCGTTTGTACTACTTTACTTATTAGATTATCAATAACTATCTGACCTCATCTGAAATTCCACAAATTAGTCAGCAAGAAGACAGCAAGCAAATGATTTCTTCCTTTCTTTCAACTCAATTCATATATTGAACATGTCATTTTCTAAATTGTCAGAATGAAAAATATGCAAATTTGAACAATTCACAACATCCTCATAACAAGAATTATCGCTTTTAATCAACAAATACGCATAAAGAAAAGTAACAATAACTAGTGGATATGCTAATGTTATGTGTAATTAGGGCTTGGCTTCAAAATTGAATTCAAAATATACAGCCATTGTTTAAGCGGTATTTCGACGCTACGATCGTGTACAATTAAATCGGATCCCAGTATACTGTTACCTTGTACATTGACCAATCGCAGATTTCCACTTGACCAATCCAAGCCTAAAATATTATTTGTAATATTGAACTGGAATCTAAAATATATAATTGCAATATCAAATCTCGAAAAAAAATTATAGCCATTTGATATATAACATGCATAACAAAATTGTTCCCAATGCACCTAATAAATAAAGAATAAAATATTATTTACAAAAATAAAATATTACTTACAATTTATCCAGATCTTTAAAATTTGACTATGCCATTAATTTTTACAACTCGAAATTTTTACGTCATTTAAAATATTTAGCTCATTTTTAATATATTCAATATAAGTGAATGGATCGAAGGATAAAGTAAGAATGAGGTAAGAGGAAATTATAAAATGCGAAAAAATAATCACCAAAAGTTCACCTCGTCTACTAAATTTGCCAACAATCCAATCCAAAATTGGATTGTCGTTTCTTCTCTCCGATATTATAAAACGATCAAAATTACTTCCACCCGTGTCTAAATGAGCCAAAGGCTTGCGCTTTTGACTATAATCATTCATTGCATTTATAGGCTCAAGGTATCGTTTCAGATTCCAATTCAATTTCGTGGGAGACTGAAAGATTCATCTTTTTTTGATCTAGCTTAAACTATAATATATTGAGGAAAAGCTTGAGATTTCTAGTCACAAGTGAAATTTAGCTTTAATTTATACTTTAAATCAAAATTGAATAAAACCTAAATTAGGATTAGTTCATATCTGATGAAAAGCCTTACATTAGGTATAAAATTTGGAGATAAAAATAACTGTCAACAATCAAAGCTATTCTATCATTTTAAATGCTCAACATTACTTAGGTATGTGCCAACCTGTCGTGTGTATTGATTGGATGACATTAAATTTGATCGGTTTCTGCTCAGAATTTGCATGATAACATTCAGCAAATTAATTATGCTCGCTGCGCTGAATCTCGAATAATTATTAAATCTATGAAAACTTCCTTTAAATGAATTCTACATCCGCACTAATGGTCCTACCATCATTTCAGACAGAAAAGCAAGGCTTCTGTTTAATAGCACATGGAATGTTTAATCAAGCTTAGCACTTCGAATTTTACTTATATTTTTCAAATCACATAAAAACAATAAATGAAACATCCTGCCATCAGTTTGAGAAAAAATTTTGATCAATTTCCTGAACGTTTATAGTTTTCAAAGTATCTGAAAGCCAGAAGAACCTGCCAGAAAGTTGATGTTGCGAGACGGCTGTATTTTGACCATTTTTTGGGATAATCCATTGATCACTATTAGCAGTAAGCTGCTTCACTGTTTTTTCCAATAATTTGTTAGCATCTAAACTAGCGAAATCACTACAAAAGGTGCATCAAATTAATTTTTCGCTGAATAATTTGAACTTTCCAAATAAGGTTTTCATATCTACTTCGAAATAAAACTAAATAATTAATTTTAAAATATCATAAGTTTGTACGAATCCAAACAAAATTTTCAAGAGAAGTTTTTTTTTTAATTAAGTAAAACATCTGGATATTCAAGAATGCTACCAATGAAAACGAAGAAAATAGCAAGGATTTTAAATGGCCGCATCTAATAACTGACGAATATTCCAAACTTGATTTTGTCGAAATCACTTTTCGGAAATGCTCGAACATAACAAAAATTCGGAGGTCGTAATGAATCATTCATAGCATTCACTGTTATTTAAAAGAGAGGGCGGAATTGAAAATGAAACATTATTGAAAACTAAATCACAGCGATCTCCATTCACTCTTCTGCTATTATCGGGAATAACAATTGACTGACCTATTTTAAGAGCCAAATATTCCCTCGTTTCAATAATTTGCTGGCGGAACAAAAAGAAAATTGAACAATTCACTAATGTTAAAAAATCTTTTTTTCTCTAAATTTTTTTTCCAAAATTCAACATTTGCCAAAGAAAACATTCCGACAAAAAGGCACTGTGTGTTAATTTTCTGAAAAGTTAATAGTAGAAAAGAAACTTTTATCCATCTTTCACTTTCTCCTATTCTTGGATAGGAATTCAGCATTAAGTGGACAAATTTCGCCAACTATATTTGACAAACAACGAAATAAAATTCCTGATCAAGCAATTAAACTTCAAGAATTAAGTTCATAACATCATCAAATTTGCAGCATCTGGCCGCATCTAGTATTTCAACAGCTGTGATGTATCTCCAAGGATTAGAAATTTTTTATTTTTGCGATAATACTTTTAGCAAAGCTATCATCATAAAAATTGAATTTTTATATTATTTTCAGCGATAAGTCCATTCTTTTTCGTTAAAAAAAGGAATTTCACTATTATCCGAATGCTATTTTAAGGAGCATGTGCCAGTATAACCTGCATGATATGAGCTTTATAACATAAACTTTATTATTTACACAGAAAAAGATCTTAAAGGTTCCAGAAAAGTTTCTTGAACAATTATGAGACCTTAAGGAATTTTACAGTTATAATCAATACAAAACAGGTATAGAATTTTTTCCGCACTAATTTTGCCATTATTTAGTTATGATCTTTTTTTCAAACGAAAAGATATTAACTCCACTACAGTTCGTCTAAACAACATATAAAATTAAGATGATCAAATAGGCGAAAACTAATCCTAATGATGCTTTTTTCCCCAATGTGTATGCCCATACTTCCAGTACATGTATGATTCTTCTACAGCTATTACTGCAGCCGCAACACCACATCCTAACTTCCAGCCAGCACGAAACATATGTTTAAAGCTACCCCATTGATCGCCAGCAAATCGTCCCATGAATAAATATGAGTAATTCCTGAAAAGAGAAGCACTAATTAGAATTGACTTTTTCAAAATTAATGTTAAAATTTTCAGTTTGTCAGAAAAACTATTTGTCAGAAAAACTGAAAATATTAAGATCTTCAGTTTGTCAGGAAAAAAACTATCAAATTATGTCGTAAATTTTAAAAAGAATTGTACGTGAAATAGTTTAAATTCCAACTACTTTCCAACTTTTATGAAATCAAAAAAACTCAATATGCCATGGAACAGACGAAAGACAAAAGGCTTGCAAGAAATTCAGGCATAATGCCATATATATAAGCATATTTTAATCTAACAAGCTGCTAAAAATTATTTGCGTTTATCACTTTAGCGATCAAAGGAACAAATCACTTTCCAAAACGATGAGATGAGAATTGTTACCTTTTTGGAATTTTACTTTTTCCAACTAAAATTAAAATGATATGACAATAGCGTAGATCATTCATAGTAATAATAATATACCTTATCCAGGGATCTTTTAGACCAATCCGCGCCAGTCTTTCTTCATGTGCTCGAAGTTTTGATATCTCGCGATAATTATCATATAATGTATATGACGGTATCTTCGGTCCATGATCATGTCCCATTAACGTAAATACAGCCTGAAAATTAAATTCCAAAGATTAACTTGCTTATTCATTGAATTTCACTTGATTTTCTAACCGAACTTACACATGTAAAAAGCCCGACAAATGTTGAAGGATAAAATGAATGATACAAAAAAAAAAAGAAATGATGAAGAAAATTCTTTTTTCACTCCACAGAAAAATAGAAAAATGGTGACAACCATTCTTTACTAAAATTTATTGCAAGCAATTACAGTTTCGAATGACATAGACATCAATCTATCGCGTCATACAATTTCCTCAGGTAGTGAATCAATCTGAGAAACTTTAAGATACTTGAAAAGAACAAGCATGAGAAAAGCACACCAATTCAAAACCTGACAATTCCTCCATATCACTTCATCTTTTTTGCCAATCTCGACATAACTACGGCCTGTGAAAAAGTGAAACATTCGAGACATGCGCTTCCACGTGGAAGTAAACTTGGTACGTGAAGTCATAAATTGGACATGTTGAATGTTGTGCTAGAATTGTTAAGGTTTGCATACACGTTCTTGGAAGTTATTCTCAATTATATCTCCAAGCCATCGCTTATCGTTAAAAGCCTTTTGTGCAACGCTGACAGTAACTTTCAATCTCATCAGCTTCCCAATCATCTCGCTGTCCTATACACCGATAAATGTGCCATTTCACTCGTAAGTTCCCTACTTTTTTTTTTGTTTAGATAAAATTTTTGAAGCTTTTTTATAGTTTACGAAAGATGATTGTGATTCCCAAATTTTAATATTAAGAAATTAAAATTTTGAAATTTGTAAAGGAGGACTTCAAAATCGATAGAGGTTCTATATTTTTCAATCAATATTATTACGTTTGTACAAATTTATGAATTAATTTAATTTATAACTTTGCACAATGTTTGTGTGTGTTCGTTATTAAACACATTTATAATCATTCTAAAATACGGAGCAGTAAGCTAATCTAATTCATTGAAGAGATGCATCGCCAGTACTGAGCGAACGAGATTAAAATCCTCCTAAGTTTAATTCTTAATACTTCTTTATAATAAGACTTATGTGCCTTTCCTCGAGGTATAATAAATTCGCAGATTGTTATCAATTTAAAGTAATATTTTTCAGGAAGCTTTAAGTAAATTGATTGTTCATAGTGCGCGCGCTGGCATCAGAAAAATTACTTTATACGATCCGTGGTCTTATATTTTTTCAAGACGAGAACTTCTGCAAAAGCTAACGTATGATTTTGCACATATGACATGCTCGAAAGAGCCTGTTGACGTGGTATTTTACGATTTCGATCATTCTGTGATTCATCCAAGCTACATTCATACTACTGTCAAAATACTCACTGCACGAGATGGCAGGCAATCCATTATTCGAGCTTGCCGAAAAGTAATATTTTTTTCAAAATTCATTAAATTCATGTTAGAAAGTTGTGCTATCCCACCAGATATTATGTTGAATAATAAATTATGGAAATAAGCAATTTGGGATAAATAAGTTTCAGTTGTGAATAGAATGAAAATAGATTGAAAATATTTTTGAAAATTAAGAGAGAAATATTCTTCGATTCCGAAATCTGCTTTCCACTGCGATCGAGATGAGAAAATTCCTCTTTTACTCCGGAATTTCATCATCTCTGTTATTTTATATTAACGAAAAAATAATTATAAAGTATCACAATAATGTTATCAATATCATAAGTTTTTGACTTACTAAACCCATATATTGAAAAAATTACTTTCAGCTTTGCATGGAGTGCAAACCAACAGATATAACAATTGAGCAAATATCAGAATGTCTTGCTAAAGAACACATTTGCGAACCAGATTTCCTGCTCCAAATAGGTAACTTAAAAACAATGGCGGGTTATCCTCCATGGGTATTAAGGATAACGGAAATACTTCAGCTGAAAAGTCTTCCCAGCAACTTTTCGCACAAACAATTTCTTTCTTATCTCCATGAATACTCATCAAGAGATCGTCGAATTGGAAAGTGAATTTCAACCTTAGCATCCGCTTTGAGAAAACTTTCAAATTTTATATTTCATTCACATAAATGCTTTGCAGAGCGATATGAGGTCTTATAACCATTCCATTTAGTTTTCTAGGGAATACGTTTTATTTGATAATTTCTTAAGAGCTTTAATTGTTAATTTATTTCATTCAAGTAATTATCGCTGACGGTTAGGTTTTATTGTGCCTTTTTGCAAATAACGATTTTCGAATCTTTCCCATATTCAATTCTTTACTCTGCAGACTGTTCTTACAGAACTTTCATGCATTCCGGTTCATGTTCCTTCTTGCGCGATAATAGATACCGGTCGTAAAGTCAAAATGTTATTTCAAATTTTTAATTCAGTTATGTTGCTCATATTTTTTTCTGGATCAATTTCTAGATAAATAGAGTGGGGAAAAATGTACCCCAAAAGTTCTGTTTTTTGTACGCAAATAATTCTTCATAATATACACAGAGCTTTAATTCAAATATATATATATATATATATGTGCAGTTTCCTTGGGAATAACTAAAGATATAGAATCTTAAATAAAAGAATCAAGTTCCTTTTTTAGATAAGTCCCCTATCACTGTGATTATCCAAAATAACCAAGATATAAAAAACATTTTTAAGAGAATGATAAATGGATCTAGAAAGCTTAAAGTCATATACTTTCCTGTCAGATAGCTATCCATATCGATTGTAGATAGCTTGAAACTAGTAGAATTTTTATTCAAAAACAATTTATAAGTGTTTCACAGAATGAAAGAACCAATTAGTTTTAGTTGACCATGCGCCGCTAAAGGCTTCTTCAAAAATTTTATAAAACGATGCAGCTGCAGTATTGGAATTCACATCGGAGCATAATGTTCCTTTCAAAAAATCAATATCCTCCGCCTAAAATAAACGTTTTGTTCATCATTATGGAGCGCAATCTGTAAATTCAAAAAAAAACGGGACTTTCAAAAATATGTATGTTACCTTTTGCAATTCAGGAAGTCCCATACATAGTAGCACCGAAAAGAGTGAAATAAATAACTTGGACCGTTGATGTAATATAATATATGCGTCTGTACATAGCTTTTTGAACCTTAAATGATTTTAATTTCGTTTTTCCCCAAATGAATAAAAAAGCTTATAAAGACAATACACAAAGAATACATCGCTTACTTTTTATATTCGTGGCTGTCACGGAAATTGCTTTTGCCTTTGGCTATAACGCAAAGAAAATGATCGGTTAAAACAAAAGGTACTCGGTCACGATTAATACCTAATTTCTTTTTATGGTGCCCCAAAAAATGTCCAAAATCGATGTGAAACAGCTGTAAAAAGATCAAGTGAAAATTGGCGATTGATTCAAAATTTAAACTGCACGTAAAATTCATCAGACAGGTTGACTATTTAGCAAGTTACCCTTCCATCTTTAGCTAGCATGATATTGTCTTGGTGTCTATCTTTGATTCCCAGTACATATGTTGCAACACAATATCCAGCACATGAAGCAGTAAAACGATCAACTCCTTCCAAATATCTGCAAAAAAGTTCATAGTTCGATCTCTATGAACAATGACAAATATCTTGTCCTAGCATCATTTTCTCACAACCATTAGTCATGGTAAAATAGAACAAATTTGAGAAAGATGAGGAGAAAAAAAAATAACAACAGCATGGCGATTGAAATATTTTGATCAAATGTCTTAATGTAAACTACTTTTGTAGGACTGAAAAATATTCAGTATCTTCTGAAAGCTCTCTGTATTTTTTTTTTTGAGTTAAACATACACTTTCGAATTCTCCGAACAATTTCGTATATATTTATTAATAAGACCGCTTTCCATACTGAACGTTGAGCCAAGTTGTTTTGCAGCACATTGAATTTCAAAAAGTGTATTGCAATTTTGAACGACGTAGATCATTCCAACCTACAAGATCGTTTCTTATTTCCACACTACAAAGTATACTGAAATCAAATAGTATCAGTTTCACTTTATTAAACATTTCTTCTGCTTTTAGAAGTCGTTTTCGATACTTACATTTCTCCCCATTGGCAGCACTTCATAAATGCTTAAGCAGAGATCATAATCCTGGCTTTTCCACAGTGAATCCATAATACGCATAACTTGTAGAGTTAGCATATCTTGCCGCAGATCTAAAATTTAACAAAGTTCAACAAGCCTTAAGATTATATATTGTCAGTGTGCTAGTGAAATTGAGATAATCGCAGTAGCCCACACAATTTTACTGGAAGCATGATTTATATAGATTATATAATTTTAATCAAAATAAACGGCTCTTTAGTACAGCTTTTTGAAAAGAACTGATATCATATATATTTCTAAACAACAAAAATAATCATTATTCAACAATACTTACCATCACCATTCTTGAAGATAATTTGATGCGTCTCACTATGCAATCGAGCTAAAGGTTCCGGATTAGTCCAAGCTAGCCGAAGTGGTTGCTTCGCACTTCCTATCACCCTGCACTGTTCAATGCTGCAAAAACGCTTACTCTTCATATTTTGTATTTTGAAAGATTTGAGCATAAAAATTTTTACATGATTTTTGCAAAGTTAAGGTAGTGAAAATGACTCACTTTAATGTGCCTAAACTATCGGAAATATCTAGAGGTGAGATCATATTCTGCATTATTTCCACATATGAAGCTAATTCTTTTTGTAGATGCTGAAAAAAAAGTGTTGAATTCTAATTCATAATTTATTCCCGAAATTTTTCTAGATCACACATATATCATTCAAATATGCAGTAAATGAAGACGACCTGGATGGAGAATTTACCTATAACAGGGGAATCTGAATGTATCTAACATGGAAATAAACATAACGCCGACTGCAGTGGTAGAAAGTAACTCAAATTTCAGTATCAAATGATACGGTTAGCAATTCATAGCACAGAATTTGAAATGTTTTCAGAATTATCACCTTAGTAGCGCATTCATTATCCTTCATAGTTTTGATAATTCTACTAAGATTTGTCAGTCTTACTACCATATCTACTTGCCGCAACATAGAATTAAGGTGAGTGCAGTTAGCTCGACAGTAGGCCTCAATCATTAATGCAAAACGTTTGTAAATCCTCGTCAAATCCTGACCTACTTCACCTGAAATGATGTTAGTTAATCAAATCTCGTAGTAAATATCGTTAGTTAATTTAAATTGCTGAGGAAAAAAGAAAGGCTGCCTAATAAAATTATATTCTTCCTTTTTTTAAGGAGATAATTACTTAGTTGTCCAAGTTCAGCTCGCAGTAACCAAAACAATATATGACCAATACGATTATTACAGAGCGCTCTTTTCAGAAGCATTCTACTCAAAGCACATGAACCATATGGCTCAAACTTCAAAACCTGCAAACAAAACAGCAATCGATTCCATCATGACATCATGGTTAAGAATAATATAATTCGAAGAAAACTTTATGTTATAATATACTACATCACGCTTCAATATATTTAGTTTTTCTTATATTGTAGTAAATGGAATTAGCACATGAGCCATTATTAAAAGAGCGTCCAGAAATCTTCAAATACATCGCTCGATATTCTTTAAAAAGCAAGTTTACCTGAAGGAGAGGCAAAATATAAAGCTGTAATCTGTCATTGTCCAGAACATTATCAAGCGAATCTACTGCAAACTCTCGGATTCTGATATCAGGATATTTAAAATCCAGAAGCATTAAAGCCATTTCTGGTTGAATCTTACCCCATCGCTTTAATAATTCGTATAATCGTGAAAATTCGTCTCTTCTCGTCCAAATCAAGGGGCACTGCGCAATCAGTGGCAATAAATCAGGCTTATATTGTGCAACTAACTCTCTGAAACACTAACTTCCAAAAACTAATTGAAAGAATGACTATCACTCCGCTATGATTCAATATCAGCGACTATAAACTCATTATATTTATATTCGGTAATATAAAAATAAAAAACATCCGACTACTAATTTAAAAAATTACCTCGATTCCCACAAACGTTCCATTTGCATGTCGGTTAAATTTTCAGCATTCACAAAACGTAAGGAGTCAAGAAATTCTCTTGTGGAATTAGATGGCTGGAAAAACTTTTATGCTTGTAAATTTCATTAGGTAAATGTCATTTTAATTATAAATTAATCACGTACTGGAGATAAAGTTGGTGAAGACGATCTTGTACTCCGAATGTCTAGTTTTTCGACATATTCACACACTGAATCTATATCTGGAAATTCGATACAACCATAATCTTGAAATTCCACTTCAATACGAACTGTATCACGATTGTCATTTGAACCTAGCTAAAAAATATTGTACATTTTATAAATACTGTCAGACTATTACCTTTATTTTATAAAAAAAGATTTAGCAAGATGTATCGTAGTTCCACCATGATAATGTGTCAGGAAATGTGAAAACGAATTCAGTAATACAATTTTGGTAAAGAAAATAGGCCGTTATGTTCAACTTCTAAATCCCAGCGGTTCAAAGCACTGATACCGTATTACTGCAATTAATATGTGTAACAACTGGTATCTTGCAACTTTTCCAAAACGATATTCAACATACCGATCTTCAGCTGCCCAACAGAGAATTACACTTATCTAGATATTTTTAATATTTGTGAGAGGTAAAACTGCAAAATTTTCATAAATTGTAAAATCTTCAGCTATAATTTTTCGATTCAGACTCAAAGTATTACTTGTCCGGATGGATAAAGTAGTTCCGTGCAGTACTTTGGGAAAGGCCACAAATAAAGCATATGTTTGCCCTGAACAAGTTTTCCACTGTAATCAAAAAGGCGTAAATTGACCCAACCAATTCCATTGTATTCCTGAAAATATAAATCAACAAAGTGTGTCCGGAAAACATATTATGTATATTTGAAGATTCAATGAAAAAAATTGAAGTAAATTGACCTCCTTTTTTTTTTGTTTCACAGCAACTAAAGAAAGGCACAGCTGTACAGAGGGAGCCAAATCTTTCAAACATAGATCGAAATCGATCCAGCCCTGAAAATCAGCTAATATATTATCAAAAAAATAAAAATTTAAAAAGAAATGCAAGAATACTACTTACATCATTCCAACGAGGATTTGAAGGAGAAACATAGGCTGATTCTTTGTTCGCAATAAGATCCATTCCATGATATACAGATGCTTTCACATATATCTTATCGAAATCTAATATACTTAAATGAGATGCGCTATGTATCCGTAATTTCAGATTATCGTCCACTTTCCATAAAGAACATTCCTAAATTGAGTTCAATTTAAGCTTAATTCTCAGATTTCAGTTAATAATCCTCTCAGTGTTCCGTTAAATTTGTCGGAGAAAACAAACATTATCAACTGGAAATGCGTACCTTCATAGCAATTTTGTCAGCTCGATCGAGTCGACTCTCATACGCTCGTACCCAACTCGGCTAAAATAATAAAGGATTTGTTAGTAAAAAAAAAAGAATCAAAACACGCAAACCGTAAAAACGACCAATAATTTAAAAAGTCACCATATTTCTTCAGCTTTTTAATAATTCTAGGTTATTCGAAATACAAGAAAGTTTGCCAATCATTGGGAATGCAATTCAAAATTTGTTAAATATAATTTCATATTCTAATTAATAACCACAGAAAAATATAAAGTGCTCACTTTGGTTATGGGTGGAGGTTCTGTAAAGTCCTTCATCACGATATCTTTCCTCCGCAATATGAATTTTGGTATGCGATAGTTTTCGAAACATGATCTGACATACTATAAAAAATCAAAAATTATGATTTTTCGGAAATATTCATATAATATTCATATAGTAAAAGACATATAATAAAATAATTCCCGATGAACTATGGTAAAAGCAGGATTATTACCTCAAAGCTCGTTAACCTGATATCCTTGGTCAAAAAACAGCGCCGTCCTGCTATTTGCAACAAGAAATCAGAAGCAGTTTCCTTGATCTGAAATGAAATCTGTTCAGAAACTAAAATTATGAAAATCCATTTTTTTCCTCTTCTTTCTTCCCAAAGTTTTTCAGTGTAGTATAAAAAGAAATCCCAAATAATTTATTACAAATAATTTATGCTGTTGCATAAGCTCCTTTATCGCGTTTGCTATGGCATCTGAAGCGTGAACACCAATCACTTTACGAATTTTAACACAAACACAATTCGTATCAATATTTGCCAGTTCATCTTCTCTACTGCGATACCATAGTTCAATGTACAAATCTGCCACTAAAATTCAATTTTATTTAAATTGAACACGTCGGCTACAAACTAGCACATCAACTAACTGATTTAAGACTGATTCTTAATAATGAAAGTTCTGTCTTTCTATATCTACTTTCTTGGTACACAAACTTCTCAGTAATTCGATATATTAATACTATTCCCGGCCAACGGCGATGGAAATATTCAATAAATCAGCAAAATTTGATAGAAAAAATTTTGTTTTAATTCTCGAAATATTTGTCTAGGTCTAAACTTGTTCTTTATATTCTCCATTTTTTTTAGAAACGATTACCATGTCAACCTTATCGTGTAGCAAAAAAAAAAAAACAAAAGTTAACAGAATTTTAAAAAGATAATTTTGAAAAAATAAAAATTTACTTTCAATTTTTGATTTGACTTGCGGCGGGATATCAGTATCTAATTCGCTTGAAACCTCTTCAGGAAACGCATAGTGAGAATAGCCGACAACCCCGCGGTTAGCCACTGCTTGCTCTGATACTCTGTACAAATCCATCCGGTATGACATTTCTTCAGAAGACAATTTCGCTTCAATTTCTGTCAATGGACGTCCAATAGCAAGACCTGAAGATTCAAAAGATTAATATTTATGATTTTGATACTCCAAATAATTTATCCTTTATTCCATAAAATTTTTAATTAAATTTAAAAAATGCGATATGAAAAAAGATAAATTACAAGTGTCCAAGATAATCTAACTTATCGAAATTATTAAATGATATATCTCTGAATGACAATAGATTCCAATAAATTTCTACAAAGCTTAATTGAAACCTATTCATGAATGTTGTTTACAGTACATAATACTAGTTGAAACGCAAGAAATTACCAATATCATGTATCAGTTCTTTTTCTTCCCGATTGCCCTCAGGCTCAATCAAGCAAAGTAGCGGCACGAAAAGCCGTAATGAAAATATGGAACGCGATTCATCGTACAGTTCTTCACGTTCACCGTCTGTTCTAATCGTGAAAAATATATAATCCGATGGTGTCAACAAAAGATTAAACAGCGGCAATCTGAATAAGTGCAAATCTTTTAAACAAATTAAAAAAAATTCTCTTCAATTTAACTAATATCTTTGATTTTAAAATGAATTTAACCACTTTCTTTAATCAAATAAAATTACATGAAGTTCTCCGAATGTAATTCTAAATGATACTAACTAAACAGAAAGAGTTATTACTAAGTTTTGAGCATCATTTATACTAAAGTATTTCTTTCAAAATATTCAAACATAGAGTGCTGCCAAACCGTTTATATGTTTGGAATATATTTATCTTACTTCTAACATTTCAAACTTAAGTCTGAACATTACTAGCTTACGTAATAACTAGCTTATAAAGGATTTCACTTTTTATGTGGCCGAACATTTGCTGAATTATAAAATAATAATGGGTGCGAAAACAATACTTCTTTGCCTGTATGAATAATTCTTGTTTAAGCATAGCAAGGGTGAGGTCCATGGAGCATCGTACACTGACGAGGAAGCCATTTGGTAGCAATAAATCGAGAACCGTACTACCCTCCACCTCTAGTTGTCCACATTCTATAATTGACCATACATCAGGTGAGTCCTGCGGACAAACCATTCCTTGCATTTCTTTCTGGCAATTCAATTCCACTATGACATCCTGAAACAAATTCAATCCCAATTCAGATATTACTGAAATTAATCGTAAGAAAAATATTGCACAAACTGAAAATTTTCAACGAAATTATTCAAAATTTTCATTTGATCGATAGACCCGCAAAATGAAGAAGAAATAGTGGCGCATGTGACTCATCGTTTTATTTCAGAAATAAGTTCCAAACTCTCCTGATCAGTGTTCTCATAGCTAATAACAATCACTATTAATTATTTCCACATTCTTTCTCTCTATTTTCATCACTTCCCTCCTTGGTCACCGACATCTCTTTGTTTCTCTTCACTTCCAACATCGTTCTTACTATACAGCACAACTACTTGATATTTTCTCTAAAAACTTCCGCTTGTTACACTCTAAATACTTTTGCAGCTAACTGCTATACCCTCCGATGTAAGAGCAGAATCTGAAAGCAGAAGTTGCACTGCCATCATATATTTAGAATGTTTTGATGAGAGACGGTTTCGGGATATTTGTCTGAGAGAAACAATTGATCAGGTTAGAATTCCGGTTTGAAATTGCAAAAGATATGACAGAATGTTAATTTACTCTGCCATTTACATCAATACAGTTTTATGTAGTAATTCTGTTTCACTATTTTTTAGGAATATTAATAAATTCGATTCAATAAAACTAGAAATTTTATTTCGACTAAATTGCTCTCATGATTCCACAACTTTCCATTCAGCTTTTTGTTCATTAATTAACATCTATTTGAATCAACTTTGAAATCTCTAAACAATGACTAACGATTGAGATATTTCTGGAAATTCAAACTACAATTTTCTATTCAGCTTTTTATTCACAAAGAAAGTATTTCTTTAATTTGAGACTCAACTGGCAACGAAATTTGTAAAGAACAGAAATTCTTATGCTCTTGCGGATGTCTCCTAACGAGCTTTTACTTAAACAACTGGCATAAAATGCTTTTTTTACCGAGCATTTCGAAATCCAATAAAGATTAATTTGAGATTTCTAACACAGAATTCGAAAGACCATTGAAGTTCTGTTCTGGAAGAGAGCTGAGCAAGCATCGAGCTTTAAAGTTTCTTTTTTAAAGTGTTCGCGTAGTTCTCTTTACAGACAGCGAATATTTTCAATTATCGTAAGAAAAATGACAAAGTAATGAATTACTTTGAACTAAAGCTTCATTATAGTAAAATTTTCTTTAAAATTCTTAGTAAATTAGTAAATTCACTTGGCTAAATTTTGATCGGTATAATTCAACTATGAATTTGCCATGTACAAAATCACTGTGAATAATTCGATGAATCCAAGGTGCCGGTTAGCAAAGCTTTGGTAATCAATTCTCAGCTATCGGTATTGAATGAATACTAATATCCTACATACAGTATCAAATTACAATATATTTCAATCGTTATTTAATTCGACAAAATGACATTTAAGAAATAATTAAGATTTCTCCCTTTATACTCCACCAATCTGTTAATGGCCATATATAGTTTTATTTTAAAATTTCTCGCAGTGTTTAGATGAATAAAAAGTAGCAAAAGTAATTGTTCAAAAGTGACATGCTACATAAAGATGTGACCTCTCACATGTGATACATCTAACTCCACTTCCTGACCTTACCCTTACTCTGCTATAAAATAACTTCTGCTCTCAATCTCATTCAAATAATTGAAAATTTTTTCAATCTCTTATCCCGTAAAGTTCACTTTACACCGCACTTCCCTCTCTCTTTGTAATACCATGCATAACGCGACCATCAAATCAGAAACATCCCCGCCACTCTCGCAATTCCCGGTAGAACGATGATCACATCAGTATCTCTGAGTAATCCGCTCAGATTGTTGCATGCTCCTGTTGCATGCCACAGAATTGTGAAATGAGATGATCTTTGAAGTTTTTCATTCCTACTTCCAACAGAACGGTTTGGATGGATTGTTAATGAGTTCGGGATTGTGATACTTAACTAATTGAGTATAGTGATATTAACTGTAAATAGTTCATTTACACCATTAAGAATTTTTCGAGAATGAATTATTGAATAGTATTGAGAAGCGTTGATTTGATTAAATAAACAGAAATGCTTATTAAAATTTTGTTAAGTGTAATTGAATTGATTGAATGTGCTTCTTGTTCACTACTTATTTTCATATTCTAATGTATTTGTTATAATTATTATGTTAATCGACGGCACTTACATTCATTACTGCTCTTTTTTTTCCTTTTTTTTTTCAGGTACAACGGAGAAGAAGATTACATTGAAATTGCTTCATCTTTTGACTTTAACGTGCTTGGTAAAGAATCTCTGATCTTCAGAGAGTTATGGTATGTTCTCTATGTAACATCTGATTTTAATGATTTCATTTCACTAATTTTTTTGCGGAGCATTTACTTATCTTTAACCGCATTTATGAACCAAACTGCAAAGTGAGACATGAAACCCTGAATTATTTTTCACCAAACAAAAGTTAGAATCAGCGTTATGATCTCTCAAACATTTCTTGAGATCTTCAAAAAGTAGTTATTTAGCAGTTGTAAAAATGCGAAGCTATCACGAAGCTATCCAAGTGTAAGAAGAAATTTTCGTTAATATTTCCAGGGAGATCAGCAGCTCGACTGCGCTTTAGATTTGATGAGGCGTTTGCCACCTCAACAGGTAGAAAGAAATTTGAATGATCTAATTGATTTGTGTCCTCGTTTGGTGGATGACTTGTTGAGTGCTGTTGATCAGCCATTAAAAATTGCTCGTGATAAAGAAACAGGAAAGGAATATCTTCTTTGTGATTATAACAGGGATAGCGATAGTTATCGGTTAGTTTTTTCCGTGAATTTTGAATATTTTTATCAGTTCGGTTTTTACATTACTTTTCTAGATAAACTTAGTCAAATTCAACCTTGGCCTTTTTTATCGGTACTTTATGATCATATCAGTACATTATTATTCAGCTCACCATGGTCGAACACCTATGACCCACCACTGGAAGATGGTGCTTCACCATCAGATAAGCTTCGCAAACTAGAAATTGAAATGAATGCCGCATTCGAGGCTTACAGAGATGCGTAAGTTTTTACTTTTTCAACAAGTGAATTTGAAACATTTTAAAATCATAATAGTTTTATTATGCATATACAGTATTGCGCGAGTTTTTGTATGAATTGTAGTATATTGAAAATATACCTTGTTAAATTTAAATTGCTGATTAATGACGTCCTTTATCTAGTTGACGTTGCTGAGGATGTCTATGTTAAAAAAAATATTTTTACAGATATTTCGAGGGTGGTGTATCGTCCGTATACTTCTGGGATTTGGACTATGGTTTTGCAGGCGTTGTCTTAATCAAAAAAATCGGAGATGGTTTGCGGAATATACAGGGTTGCTGGGATTCAATCCATGTGATCGAAATACAAGAAAAAGTATACTTTCACTTACACTTTGTGAATTTTTTAATGTTTTTCACATGTTTTTGGTTCCGTTTTTTTATTTGTTGACGAATGAAGTTTAAAGCAATAATTCTTCAGGCTGGTGGTAGGCATGCACATTACAAACTTACAAGTACAGTAATGCTTTGGCTGCAAATGACTAAGCAAGCAAGCGGTATGATGAATTTAGGAGGATCAGTTACGCGCCAGGTGATTTTCATCTTTATTATTGCCAGTTACAAATAATTGATTTTGTTTCTATTTCAAGTCAAAGTTTTTGTTTCATTCGTGCTTACAGTTCTACTCCTTTAGGCCGAAGCTGATCATCCAGTGAACGATTCCACAAATACCCATCTCATTAATATTGGAAAAATGATAGAAGTGAGCTTTCTTTAGAATTCTTCATTTTATCAAAAAATTGAATAAAATGTTTTGTTTTAAACATTATGAGCATCTTTTTTTGTTCGGAGAACTGATTTATTGTTACATTCATGTCAGACATTCTTTTTGGTCAGTGATAATTGACTTTAATTTAAGAATGTTGATCAGTATAAACTAATAATTGAAGTCAGTTTGGATATCAATAAAGTTTCATTTTCAGGACATGGAGAGTAAAATTCGATCAACTTTAAATGAAGTTTACTTTGGAAAAACCAAGCAGATTGTTGGTGAATTGCGTACCACACTTGATGCTGAGGAACTGAAGCGACAAAAGAAAATTGCAACGGAGATAAAAGGAGGTATTGCCAAATAAAAAAAAATTAATAGATCCTGCAACACAGCAGTTTCACTATCTTCTCTAAAAGGGCTTTGTTGGTGCATTTCTTTATTTTCATATTTTTCATATTTTTTAAATATTAAGTTAGGTAGAATGCTTCTCCAATAATATAAAATGTCTTTGTAACTAATAATAATATATATTTTATATTACGATATTTGAGTTTTCTGTCTATTCACTGTAACGCTTTATAATGGCGTGTCAACATGATAGACATAACTGTGAAGCTTCTGGGAAAGATTTGCGACACTAGCCATCAATATTAATTCATCGACTAGTAAATTTTCAGACACAATTCTTATTCTGACATTTTTTATAATTCCTGTTTATTAGTTGCTACAGTGGAAGGATTTCGTCTCTTTAATTGATGGTCTATGGTATGGATTGCTGTGTTGTATACTTTATAGAAATTATAACTTTCAGTGGACTTATAATTTTTCGCAACTTTTATAATTATTTATTTATTATGCCACAAGTTTATATTATGTAATTTTTCTACATACATTGCATAAATCTTTTTTGAAAATCATTCCAAAATTTCTAAATTTTTGATTTTTACTGCTTGTGCCAAAGGCTTAAATTTCACGTTCAATTACTCACCATGGCTTCATCGTGTGCTAAGTTTTAATTGATTTTCAGTTTGTTAATGTGAAATTTTAAAAGCGAATATCTGCTTCATTCACAATCTGTTGGTTTCTTTCTTCCATCATGTGAATTTAAATTATTTCGATCTATTGTAGTTTGTTATTCATTACGTCCATTGTGTTCATTCTTGCTAAAATATATATCATGCAACCAAAAAAGAGAATTTACAAAACATATATTGGAGTAATAATCGAGTATGTCAGTGATAATGGCTGGGTGTTTTACTTCGTTGTTGTAGAATCGTCAAAATTTTTTGGTTTGAACATCTTTGAAGTTCTGGAATTTTGATCGTTGATAGGGATTGGATTTTTTGTTCCGACAAACTTGATGGAATTTCTAAAGCTGTCTCATAGTTAATCTTACCAAGGTATTTTATTGTTTTGATTTGTTGAAAGTGAAAGTGATTGTCTTAGAACTAATTATTTAAAGGGTTATTTTAAAGGATCAAAAAATTCAACGGTATAACATGTGAAGATGAACTTACAGGTGTGATTTGTTGCTGACCGATGACCTAGTTCTCTATTATGACGTATTTGTACGCTCACACATGCACTTAAACGCAGCTGCATCAATATCTTTGCGAAAGAATGATGCAATTTAGGACAGATTTCAAGTTTTCAGAGAAATAATAAAGTGATGAAAATGAAAGACCATTGCACACACGTATACACGCACACACACGCACACACACACACACACACACACACACACATATCCGAGTGATAAAATGAAATTGATTCCCGTGTTGCTCCCTTCATTGGAAATCACTCCCATCTTTTGTCAACCTTTAAAGAGCTATCAAATCTAACAATAACAATAACCTCTTCCTTTCTTTTCATTTATCATTCATGAAATGACAATTACTGTTAGCTTTATCGAATCTTCCATCAATATATTCCTGTTCCTGATAATATCAACATGTGCAGTTGGAGATTATAAAGCAAGTATTGATGGTAAATTTCAATTTTTGCTACTTTTTGTTACTCGATTAACTTTTTCTAATTGGAATATTTCATCGGGCAATTGTTTTTTTTTTTTTGGTAGTTTTATGCATCCCTCTCAGCATTTCATCATTCTTTCCATCAATGAAACAAGAGGAGCATGGCTAAATTAGCAAGAATACCTGCACACTAATGCAAAATATGAAGTCAATGAATATTCAAATAGAAATTTGACAATTGTAGGGATAAATTATTGTTTCATGCTATTAAAGCGCTAGCAGTATGTCAATAGTAAAATGATATTTGATTATTCAAGCCATATTATTTTTTTAATTTATTAATAGAGCTAATAGAATAGCCATAATTGATGAAAGCATAGTTAGTGCTTTTATGAATTGAGTCACAGTGGAAATAAATAAATCAGAAGAAATGTTTTTTTTTCCTCGTTTTATCAAATCAATTATGAAACAAAATTCATTACCTTACCTCCTTTTCGTGGAAAATAACCAATAGGCAATTTCTAATTTCAACATGAAATTATTTTAAATTTAAAAAATACGTACTTTTAAAAAGCATTAAAACCGTGTTTCGAACGGTACATTGGTCAACGGTTATCGGAATTGCCACCGTACCATAGCGAATGGCGAATGAAAACACCAGAAGAATGTTTACTGTTTTGTGCACTTTCTTCGGTATTTGTTTTTTTCTTCTCGAAAACTTTATTTCAAATTTACATTTATTATTAATTACAAGCTCATAATAAAAGATATTCTAATGAACTTTTCAACTATATGATGTTGAGATTTTTCTAGCAGCTTTTTCAACTGAAAGGAAAAAAGCCATATTTGTAAGTTAATTTGGTACCCTTTTTAGTCAATATATTTTAAACTTTCCATATCTTATATTATGGCGCAAAGTTCACTTGTTGATGTTCAATCTTTCAGTTCAATTTTGACATTATTTAGGAAGTCTAACTTTTCTTCGTTTTTTTTTTTATTGAATTTAATATCAAATTTGAATAATTTGCTAACAAATTATTACATCAGTTTAACTCCTTCCAAATTCTGTAATTGTTCATTTTATTTACAAATTTACAGTCTCGTTGTCGATCAATAGTTCATGATATTTTCCAACATATATGCTACTATTTCTTAAATGATGGACAACAGTATGCACAAATAGCACGTGGCATGGTTTACTTCCGTGTAATTAATAAAAAATGTTTAGGTAAAATTTAATTATTAAAAGCAATAGGAATGAGATATCAATTTAAGAATCAATTTAATCTAATTTTTCGGAAAATTCCTGAATTTAATAATAATTCGAATAAATTAATAACAAAGTATTATTTCGTTTGTTTAAAATTTCATTTCATTTTACTTGATTCCTTGGAATAATTAGCATCAATAAATTAATTTTTAATTTTTATCAGCATGACGTTTTTCTTCATTTTCAATTTCTTTTATAGATCAATTTCTAAATGGTTCCAGTCTTACACTTCCGGATTCAGAATTCGCAATTCCGGAAATATCACCGTCCACTCCGAAATACAATACCATTACGAATAGTATTGAGTTACAGCGAGCGATAGCTCATGCAAACCCATTAATTCATGTACCACCTGGTGGTCGAGCTATAACACCCACTCCTTATTTTGATTATTTTGATAATCAACAAAAATTCAAGAAGCATGAAAAATTCGACGAATTAAACATTACCATTGCTAATTCTCCTATGACTACTTCGGATAATTTTCAGAAATCGCAATATTATACTGTAATTTCTACCAGTGGTATCACTACCACTACTTTACCATCTTCATCAACCGTATTCCCGAAAGTATTCTCCGAATACGACGAAGTAATATCATCTTCCGAATTATCTTCCCCAATCGTTCCAATACTCGAGAAAGATTCCATTAATTCAACATCCAGAAAGCCTAAAGAAGCATTGCAACAATCAAATCATCAAATATATCCCTCTGATGATGCTTCATTTTTCATCGGAAACATTGGGAATATTCCAGTGTCTGGGACAAATTTCGGGAAAGGTCATCAGAAAGATGGTATTGATTTGAATAAACTATTGAAAGCGATTCCAGAATACGTAAGACGATCACCAATTAAAAGCTCTCTAATAAATGCAGAAAAGTTAAATAAGATAAAGGTAACAAAGCATCATTATACTTTTTGTTTTATATCAGTAATTAGTGTAAAATATCATTTAATACAATGATACCAACCGCTGAATCAAGCTTTTACTTCAAGCTAAATTTATTAATAGTTGAAATTATTATTATGCTTAAATTCTCCAAGAAAAATTCTAAAAATTATGCCTCTCTTTTCTGAGTGAATTTTAAATTAATAATTTAAGCGCTAAAACAGTTGTTAAGGATGCAAATAACTTGATAACATTATTTGATACTAAAAAATCCATTATTGATCGATTGGTGGCAATTCCAACAATTAAGTCAATCTCGATAACACCCTCCAAACAAACTGATAGAATGGAACGGCTTCTTTCATCAGGTTTCCTTTTCGATGAAATGATACCACTCTTATCTTCTTATTAACCTTCCTCATTAATTAAAAAAAAGATAAACTTGAAGAAATAATGAATGTATGAAATTTCATAAATTATTTGTGATAAGTGATATCAATCATTTTTTATTTTAATTCGAATAGCGACATGCAAAAGATTCGTATAATTTTATCATATTACTGAGATTCATCCTTAAAAATTCAATTACTTATTAACTATTAATACTTACGTCCAAGTATTGTAATTGTGACATACAATAGGAGTATGTGGAAGTAATAAACGTGAGGTGTGGTTGAATATTGAAAATGCCATACTGCAAACTGATAGATTGCAAAAGAAGACAACTGCTGGATCATACAAATCTTGTAGAGCGAAGTGTAATCTTATCACTGTTCGTTTATTTTATATTCTATGATATTAAATTAATTGTATTCTTAGACATTAAGTTATTCAATAAATAAATTAAATCATTTATCAGTTTTTTCCCTTTAAAAAAAACAATAATCTATCCAATAAATTATAATATTGCTATTTTTATCCATACAGATAACTTAAATTAAAGTTTAAGAATTACAGAATTCCGGAAGAGAATGTAACTCTTTTACATATGATGAAGTAAAACGATACTGCATAGCATATATCAACAATGATAATGCCGTCATGTCATCTTTAGCTTTTTTACCATCACCTGAATCTGACTTCAAAATTCGAACAGCTGTCAAATTCTGCTATCCAGGTTCAATCAATCAATTTTATGCGATAAAAAATCTTAATATTTAAATTAAAAGCTGAAACTGTGAGTACTTATGTGTTTAATCGTCCATGCTTATGCTTCAGGAAATATGATTATTTTCGAAGGATGTTCCGAGTTTACAGCATTTTTGGGTTACACCATGAATGTTAAACCTCGGAAAATTTTTGATGATGTTCCAAGAGGTCATCATGGATTGCATGCATGCATTGAACTGTGTGTTGTAGCACCTCATTTTCACTGCAAGGTATTATTTCCGGAATTCTTTTATAAGTAGAAGAACGAGATATCATTAAATTTAAGTGATATTTTACAAAATATGTTTTATCATTCGTTAAGCCATCTTTCTCAGTGATAAACATTTTCCATAAAAAAGTTCGATTATTAGTTCAATCAATAGTTTTATTGATACGAAGTTTTGAATTTCAGCATGCGTTGAGAATTAGAGCTGCTAATATTTTCTATAATAATCATTTCTTTTTGCCACCGTACAATATTCCTTACAAAAAACTTAAAAAATTTAATAAATCGCAAATTTATATTTCTTAGGCATCTTTTTAATTTGACATCTAACACGCATAAAATTTTCTAATCAAACGAAATATATTTTAATAAAAATGTTAATCCTTTTCATACATTTAATTTTAAATTTACAGTCGGGAGCATTTATTCTCACATCGGGTAAATGTTTGCTATATGATGAAGATTCATTATCAACTTCTGAGTATTTTCACAAGCATCAACAGTCTGGATTGATTTATTTCGAGAATGGATGCGAACAATTTGATGACAGACAGAGTTCGATTAATCGTTTTTTTTTTTTGAAAATTTCAACCAATCTTAAAGAGAAAGTTGTTTTT